AAAATGCTCCAATCCCACAGATTTCCTTTGCCTAAAGCAGGGGTCTCCAACCTTTTTCCTCTGGTGGTGATCTACCTTTACAAAACAAAAATGCCAGAGAGCTGCTCATTTTAACGGCCACAAGAAATTGAGATGTTTGGGTACAGTTCGATGCCTATAAAACAAACCATTGTCCATTTATTAGTGCACAACTTTGGCCTTCAAAATGATACATTTACAATAGTAATAGGCATGTAATTAACCAATTTTTTTTGTTATTCAGCACAATGGTATAATTCCAGAATCTTTTGGCGAGCTACTTGGAAGTGGTTGGCGAGCTACTGGGAGCTCTCAAGCTACAAGTTGTCGATATAGATATATTTGTAGCTTATATTTATTTTCCATTTGAAAGTTTTGTGTAAATTATCAATAACAAAGTGTTTTTTGAGAGAGAAATGCTGAATAAATCCATCGTGTAGCTAAAAAATAATTGGCTGAATAATCGTGATTTCATTATTGATCAAAATAACCTAGTTTTTTTGCAGTACAAATATCATTCATAAAGAGTCACTCCATACACTTGTTTAGACTTGCGGGCCGGTTCAGTGTTAGTTCTAGAGTTTGTGGAGTCATTTTCTCCCCATCAGCCTTAAACATGCTAAATATGCTCCTCCAGTCGGCTCCTCCAGGCCAGGATCCTGCTCCAGGCCTTGAGAGCCTCTCGGGTGCTGCACTGTGGGGCCCACTGCTCCTGACAGGTTTCTCTGTGCTATTAAAGCATGGATCTGTGTACTGCTCAAGGTAAATAAATATTAAACATGTTTTTCCAGTGGGGGAGGCCTAGTGTCAGATGCATCGTGAACAGGCCCATGTTACGATATTTTCTGATCTATCTTGGGTCTATAATGTTGTTTCCTTGTTAAAACAGACCTGGAGTTGTGTTTTGTTTCATTCACACATGTTTAACACACAAATCCTGCAAATTAAATCTCTACTTTATTCCCAAAAGTTGTAAAATCTTCGAGTAAATTCATCCACATAAATAATCAGAAAGTTACAGTCATGTTTGCAGCCTGTAACTTGTTTATTCTGTTTATTTTCGGGAATCACATATTGGCACACGAAAACTGGGAAAACTTAGAAAAATATTGGTTGCAAATATCACAGTTGATACTTTGCTGTGGGTGTTCTACATGTGTGTCTATGGCAGAATGTTCATCAGTTTTCTTGGTGACACAATGTACACATTAGCAAAAGATTAAAAAAAAGTAGATAGTGTGAAAAATCAAGAAAAACAAAATGGATTAAAACAAAATCAGTTGTTTATGCTCAGACAGACAGTTGTAGGGAGTATTATCTGTTATATAAAAGTGAGTTGTTGTACAGTTGTAGGGAGTATTATCTGTTACATAAGGGTGAGTTGTTGTACAGTTGTAGGGAGTATTATCTGTTATATAAAAGTGAGTTGTTGTACAGTTGTAGGGAGTATTATCTGTTACATAAGGGTGAGTTGTTGTACAGTTGTAGGGAGTATTATTATCTGTTACATAAGTGTTGAGTTTGTTGTACAGTTGTGTGTTGTAGGGAGTATTATCTGTTACATAAGGGTGAGTTGTTGTACAGTTGTAGGGAGTATTATCTGTTACAATAATGGTGAATTGTTGTACAGTTGTAGGAGTATTATCTGTTACATAATGTGAATTGTTGTACAGTTGTAGGGAGTATTATCTGTTACATAATGGTGAGTTGTACCACCATTTAATGTTGGTTTTTTTTTTTTTTTTTTGCAAAATACATTATTATTTGTTTATTTATTTATTATTATTATTATTTTTTAATAATCATCATGATATCTGAATTGTTATTGAGTAGGAGGGAAAAAAAATAAAAATGTGGTGATATGATTTCATTGTGCACTTTTCATATCAATTCATAATATGTCCAAATTTCTTTTTAATATTTTTCTCTTTTTTTTTTTTTACATTTACTGTTTTCATTATTACAGAAAAAAAAAAAAAAAAAAAAAAAAGATGAAGAATTTATTGATAAATCACAGTATATCGTTGTTGTTTTTAGTATCGGGATGTGTACCGTGTGACCAAAATCACAGCAAAACACACCACAGTATTAAGTGTCGAGTTTATTTATGAGCCCGAAAATCAAGTCTGAGATTTTTGTATCGTGAAAACACAAGTCTCATCTTTCCGTGGAGACCGAGTGTGTGACTCAGGATTCCCCTACGTTTCTCGAAATGCAATCGAGACCCGATCTGCCGCTTACTCACAGAGCCCGGCTGTGGTACGCCCGCTCGTCTAACTCCTGCTCTCCGTCAGCTGACCTTGTATTCGCGGGACTATCCAATTTGTTGTTATCTGCCACCGCTCGGAGCTGAACCTTATCCCTCTCCATCTCCTTCCTTTCTATCTGCTCCGATCAATCACCACCTCTATACTTTATTTATCAGTTTCCAATTTTGAAGAGCCGGATCAGAAGCCCGCCCGTGTGCCGCGCTCGGAGTATTAATGTCCCTGCCAGCACGCGCTTCCACCAGCTATCTCTCATTTCTGCCCTTATCAAGCGCAAAGCTAAATAATGCGCCGATATTTTCTTCCGAGAGATCCGAGCGAGGCGGAAAAAACAAATGGGACCGAGCGTCGGAGTATTAGCGATTTATCATTCAGGGGTTGTCCTCCTCACACGCTCCAACATGGGTACTAATAATAACGTCAAAGCTGCTTCTCCTCCAGTGTATTGTCGAGACGGTCGGACGCGAGGTTTATTTATGAGCCCGTGATCCGTTTGAGGAGCAGGAGTTACAGGTCGGAGTCTCTCTGGACGGTCGGAGCGCGGATCAGTGTCAAGGAGGTTTTAATAAGGCGCGTAAGGTCGCTGTCTGGTTAGAGCCGTAGAGTTTCTGTTGGTACGACGAGCGCGGTGCAGTCGGCGATTTGTTACGCGCTGTAATTTACATTTCAAGGTCGCTATTTGTTTGATATAGTGTCGGGAAAGAGATTATGATTTAGTTAAACTGAAATTTTAAAGAGGAACTGTGCCTGTAAAACCCTTTAAGACCTAAGAGCCATTTTGGTACTTTTGTCCTCGTCTGAATTATTTTTTATTAATTTTGCTTTTAAAACTCCATATTTTACCCCCTAATGAAGTGCTACGCATCCTTTTTATATGGTACAACCTGTTATTTCACAATCTGGATGCTGTAGTTGTGTCATGGGGCTGGAACAAAAGCTCTGGGACCAGAAATACAAAGAACACAAAAAATCAAAGGAAAATAAAATTCACACTCTTTCATCCAAAACAAACAGCAACCATGTATGAACAACTTTTGGACTAAAATGCTTAATTTAGGGCCTTAGCTGCAAAAGTCCAGAATATCAAGTCTGTAAGTAAACAAAAAATATCCTTATTGCCTCAAAACAAAACAAAAAAGTGCAATGGACCCATGATTTTCCTGGTGTCAGTCATGGAAACAGCTGGTGTCAGGTCCAGGGCACAGCGCCACATCACGTCCTGCATTTCCATGATGTTTATTACATTTCGATTTGTACATTTGGACTGAAATAAACCTTTCAAATAAAAATACCAAGGGATGCGCAATTACGCAGACCAAGATGCGTAATTTGTCATTTATTTGAGAAATAACTGCACTTAGAGCGACTTTTTCAATTGTTACAAACACAGACGCTCAAAGCATTGACCAGTTTGACTCACTACGCTCTTTGGCAAAGTTTGGGCCAATCAAAATGGATGGAGCACATGAGTTTGGTGGAAAACCCTATTCCCTATTTCAGTGTTTCCTCAACTTTTTTTCTCGGAACCCATATTTTACAGGTCACAAATCTTCGCGACCCAAGTCAATAGACATTATTCGTAAATAACAAAACAAATTTGTGACCATTATTGAACATTTTAATGAAGATATTTTATTGTTGGAAAAACAGTAATCAGTGTTTCCCACAGAAAATTGGTTAGACGGTGCTGCCGAAAAAGTGAGGAGCGAGGGGTGTGCGGGAACATACAGGTATAATGCAGACCTACATGCAGATCCTGACAAGGCGACCCAAAAAAAGGAAAAAAAGACTCTTGCGACCCAGTCTTTAGGAAACAATGTCCAATTGGACACTTGTTTTCGAAAACAAAAAATGCCAAAATATGCTCGAAAAGCCGCAACTCTCAGCTTTTCAGTGGAAACAAAAGTATTCCCAGGTGTAGGATACTGTCGGTGTGGAAGGGTCAATGGACACTCATGATACAACATGTGTAGAGTAGACAGATCAGATTATATGGGGTAAAGGGGTTGGACATGAACACCCCCCCCGGGAAGGATGTCCAGGAGGCATCTGGAGGACTCGCCCTCTCCTCAGCTGCTCCTCTCGACGTAGAGGAGCAGTGACTCAACTCCGAGCTCCTCCTGTGTGACTCAGCTCCTCCTCCTGTCTCTCAGGGAGCGCCCAGCCTCTAGAGGAAACTCATTTCGACCGCTTGTATCCTCCATGTGCTCCTGAGCTCATGAGCATCCATGAGGGAAGGGATGTACACTGAGCTTTGCCTTTGGACTCAGCTCCTTCTTCACCACAACGGTCCGATACAGCGACAGCATCACCGCAGACACCTGTCAATCTCACGCTCAGGTTCACTGTTTGACACGTCCTGAGATTGACATGTCTCATAGTGTAGCTTTAACCACACAACGCTCCCTGTCAATCAATATTTTTAAAACCAGTACTTTAAACGGTTAGAGAAAATAGGAAATACAACTGGCAAAGTGATACAAAAGATCCTCTCCTAAATGCACGGAGACTGTTTTACTCTTGTTTTCTTACTCCTACAATGTTTTGCTTCAGTTTCCTGAGTGGCCAGAAGGTGTTGTACATTTAATAAATCTTCTGTGGCCTTTGTTTTATTTTATTTCACCTCCAAGCGTAGTTTCGGGCAGAGCCACCACACAGCGCCTTAAAGACCACAGTGGACTCCAGTAATATTATATTTCACATTTGTATTCACAGATTTTTGCTGCAGTGGAGGACGGTAAACACAGACTGGGACAGGAGCTCCACACTGGTGAGTTTGGAAATGATGTTTTCAAATAGTCGTGCATCTATAATTAGGAATATGCTCAAATATCGAAATGGTGAAATGTTGAAATATCGTTATATCGATATGTTTTGATACTAAATTTGGTGATACAACATGTTTTATTATTATTATTTTGTGACAATTTTGGTGTTTGTTCAGAGAGAGGAACTTGTTTTTGCAAAATACTTGACATAATCATTGTTTCATTAGTTATAATTGGTTGATTCTATGTAGGTTGACTTATACTTTGTACTGAATTTTGTTAAATAAATGTACAGATACAGAGGCAAAAAGTAAAAGTATCACGTGAGAAAATCTAAAAATTTAAAAGAGTTAAAGTATCTGTTTAAAATGTACTTTAAGAGTAAACCGTAAAAGTCTTTTGCAGAGTTTTAGAATAATTGAAGCATGAAATATAGTGATTTTGATGAAGAATTTGGAAGATTTTAAGTGATTCAGTTGATTTCTTAATTTTTCCAGCCAATTTTGTGATATTTGGTGTATTTGGTTTCCTCAAAGTTGAGACATTAACTCGAATTAAATGTGCTAAAATTATGGCCCCAAACTTTGGAACACTTATATAAAAACACACTTTTACTCGCTGACTTTTAACATGGCGTGAGAATTGTGTAGTCCTCTGTCTTTTATTGATTTTAGCACTTTTTATGTTTTTTATTGACTTGCATATTTTTATTTATTTTATGCTTTATTTTATTTAATGTGCTATACAAATAAATTGGATTGGATAAAATTAAGTCTCAGCCATTTGGGAAGGTCTCACGCAATAAAGAAAAGTACTTTTTACTTTTCAGTCGAGATCTAAAATGTAGTGGAGTAGGAAATACAGATACGTGCTCTCAGATGTAAAGTAGTGAAGTAAAAGTAAAAAGTATCCACTGTAAAATGTACTTACTGTATTTTTTGGACTATAAGGAGTAATATCAATAATGTTGAATTCTCTCGTCTATTTTCATACATAAATTGCACTGGATTATAAGGTGCATTAAGCGAAACAAACGGACGACACTTGAGACTGATCCTTACCCCAGGCGTCCACGATCCATCGGCCGATCGTGGTGTCATTCGCTTGGCGTTGCCTCCCTGTCTTGGTGAATGTGGATTATGAATGTGAATACGGGTGGATAATTTAAGTTTTTTTATTTCCTACGAGGACGACTCAAATATACATTGAGTAATAATGTGTTTAATGCAGCTTTGCTCACATTTGTTTACATTTTACAGAAACAAAATGTAAAACCACATGGCTCATTTGCATAAACTATAAGCTCTGAAAAAACTGCTCGCTCCTTGTGCACTGATATGGTCAGCTTCTGTCAGACTCCATGAGGCTCCTGACTACAGTAGCTGTAATTCTCCAACAATCCATCAAGCCGTGCGGCTTCGTAGTTTACCAAAGTCATACTAAAACATTTTTACTTTACTTTTGATCGCTGCGACCCACATAAAATCAGTTCCAGGTCAGTCAGCACAACCACAATTAATTCATAAGGCTCACCGGATTATAAGACGTACTGTTGATTTTTGAGAAAATTTAAATATTTTAAGTGCGCCTTATAATCCAAAAAATACGGTTAGTAAATTAAAGACACATAAATTTATACTTAAGTATTGCACTTTTGCTTTTGTATTTCATTAACTTCCACCGCTGGCAGCAACATCATGCTGGGGGTGTTCTGAATGTATGTGTGTAGCGGAATGTCCCCTCGTTACCACGGTGACACAATGCACGCATTACCAGCGAACTGAGCCAAAAAAGTTTTAAGATTGTCTTAAAACTCAAGAAAAAAATAGAAACTGGATTTAAACAGCTTCTTAGTTTGATTTTCATTTCACCTGTTGTAGTTCCAGTGAAGTCAGTTCTTTTCTGGTTTGGTTTCAGATCCTGTTCAAATAAAGCTCAGGTTCCAGTCTGTGAAAGCGTCAGACAGAGCAGTGCCTACAGTTAGCACCACACCCACAGGGAATGTTGATGATCAGCTGCAAAGTATTAGTACTGTTGTTAAAATGTTTTTGTTTCTTAAAAATAGTCAGATGTCGCAGAATATCAGGTACGATATATCGATTATTGTATGTATCGCTTTATCGTGATAGTATCGTATCGTGAGCGGAGTATTGAGTATCGAGTATCGTATCGAAACCTGAGAGAGAAAAAGCTGTGATTCTAACCGCACGGTCCATGAGCTGGTTTAGTTCTTCTCTTCCACCGGGAATCGTCTCCTTGATTAGTCGGCTCTGGAGAATGTGAACGGAAAAAGAGAGACGAAGCGAAATGAGGTGAGATGAGGTGAGAAAGAAAGAGAGAGAGAGAAAGGAGAGGGAGAAATAGAGAGGGTGAGGTGAGTGTGGGGGGAAAGAGAGAGAGGAGAGAGACAGAAATAGAGAGAGAAAGACAGAGGAGAGAAAGATTGAGAGGGAGAGAATGGAGAAAGATGAGAAAAAGAGGAATGAGAGACAGTGAGGAGAGAAAGAGTGAGTGGGAAAAGACGGAGAGGAGAGAGTACGTGGGGAAGAGGGGGAGAGAAAAGGGGGGAGAATTGGAGAGGACGAGTGTGTGCAGGAAAAGACAGAGGACAGAAGGGAGATGGAGAGAGATACAGAGAGAAAAGAAGATGAGTCAGAAGAGATGATGAGTGAGTGTGGGAGAGGAGAGATGGAGAGAAGCGAGGGAGGAGAGAGAGAGAAGAGGACGAGTGTAAGTAAAAGAAGAGAGGACGAGTGTGTGTGGGGAAAAGAGAGAGGAGAAACAGAGAGAAGAGGACGAGTAAGTCGGGAAAGAGGGAGGACAGAAAGGAGAGACGGAAAGAGGGGAGAGGAACAGTGTGAGTGGGAAAAGAGGAGAGAGAGAAGGACAGCGGGAGAGGAAGAGTAAATCAAGAGAAGAGAGGACAGGGAAAAGGATGGGAAAAGAGGACAGAGAAGAGACAGAGGGAGAGGACGAGTGTGTGTGTGGGATAAGAGAGGAGAGATGGAGAGAGATAGAGGGAGAGGGGAGGGTAAATCAGAAGAGAGGATGAGTGTATGTGGGAAAAGAGAGAGAGGGATAGAGAGGGATAGAGAGAGGAGAGGCCAAGTGTGTGAGGAAAAAGAGAGAGGAGAGAGAAAAAAGGACAAGTGTGTGTGAGAAAAGAGAGACGGAGAGAGAGAGAGATAGAGAGGAGAGAACGAGTGTGTGAGGAAAAAGAGAGGAGAGAGAGAAGAGGACAAGTGTGTGTGAGGGAAAAGGGAGACAGAGATAGAGAGAGAGAAGAGGACGAGTGTGTGTGAGAAAAGAGAGACAGAGAGAGATAGAGATGGAGAGAGAGGAGAGAACGAGTGTAAGTGGGAAACGAGAGAGGACAGAGACAGAGTGAGACAGAGAGAGACAGAGAGAGATAGAGAGAGGAGAAGACAAGTGTGTGTGTGAGAAAAGAGAGACAGAGAGAGACGGAGAGAGAAAGAGAGAGGAGAGGACAAGTGTGTGTGTGAGAAGAGAGAGAAAGAGAGAGAGAGAGAGGAGAGGACGAGTGTGTGTGAAAAGAGAGAGAGATAGAGAGGAGAGGACGAGTGTGTGTGAGAAAAGAGAGAGAGATAGAGAGAGGAGAGGACGAGTGTGTGTGAGAAGAGAGAGAGATAGAGAGGAGAGGACGAGTGTGTGTGTGAGAAGAGAGAGAGATAGAGAGGAGAGGACGAGTGTGTGTGAGAAGAGAGAGACGGAGAGAGAGAGAGAGAGAAGAGGACGAGTGTGTGTCAGAAAAGAGAGACAGAGAGAGGCGGAGAGAGAAAGAGAGAGGAGAGGACGAGTGTGTGTGAGGAAAAAGAGAGACAGAGAGAGACGGAGAGAGAGAGAGAGAGAGGAGGGGGCGAGTGTGTGTGAGAGAGAGATAGAGAGAGAAGAGGCCAAGTGTGTGTGAGTGGGAAAAGAGAGAGGACAGAGAGGAGAGAGAGAGAGAGAGATAGAGTAAGATAGAGAGAGGAGAGGAGGAGTGTAAGTGAGCGCGTTGTGGCCGGGCTCAGCTGTGCTTCTTCACTGAGGATTTGTGTTGATCTGAGCACCTGCACAGGCTCATGCACCGGGCCAAACACCGGGACACAGGCGCCTTTCACTCCCCAAAACACCCACAGAAACATCCACCGTGTGTGTGAGTGTGTGTGTGTGTGTGTGTGTGTGCGTGTGTGCGTGTGTGCGTGTGTGTGCGTGTGTGTGTGTGTGTGTGTGTGTGTGCGCGCGCGCTCGACCAGGGACAAGAGAAGCCCGCAGCAAAAGTAGATTTATTTTAAATACTTTATGAAAATAATTGAACCCAAGTGTATGAAGATTTGAAAAGAGCCTGAATGTGAAGTCTGCGTCTGATACGGCGAGATCTTATATAACCGTCTGATAAAAGCAATATTACTTTTATGTTTAGAGATGCTCTAATCCTAAACTGCAGGGGCCACATGAGGAAAGGAAAATATCACGGAGGGCCTGGCCAAAATGTTTAACTCAGTTCTGCATGATATTAATTGTATTTATTTATCAAAAGCGGTAAATGCCATTGTTTCGACGAGCTGGTCAGACTGGTAAGAGTCGCACCAGCCAAAAAAATGTGTAATGAAGAAGAAAAAACATACCGTATTTTCTGTACTATTAGGCGCTCTGAATTATAAGGAGCACTGTCATTAAATGGTCTATTTTCAGACTTTTTTCACAAATAAACCGCACCGGACTTTAAACGAAACACAACAGTTGGATGGGTGAGTGGTTTTGTTTGTTTGTTCGTTCACGGTGACTCTGGGCTTTGTTCAGTTGTGGCGTGTAGGGAGGTGCTGTCTGGGACCAACGGATTGTCGGCGTGTTCGCAGTGACTCAGTTGTTCAGTCGTGTCTAGAAGCGGCACGTTGCGCTCACTTTTTCGGTTCGTTCCTCCGTTCCGTTCCTCGTCGGCGTGAAGTGATGAGTGTCTGTGGGTGTTTTTCGCTGTGCGGTCGCTGTCTGCTCCGTGTGT